TCGTCTCTGAAAATTTTGTGTGCGCAAAAGTGCTTGTAGGCAATAATACATGTAGGCAATAGTACATGTAGGCAAAAGTAACTCCATTTCTAAAATTTTTATTTGTGCGCATAAGAGCATGTAGGCAATCGAGCTGTAGGCAATCGAGCTGTAGGCAATCGAGCTGTAGGCAATCGAGCTGTAGGCAATAGTACATGTAGGCAAAAGTAACTTCGTTTCAAAAATTTTTATTTGTGTGCATAAGCGCATGTAGGCAATCGAGCTGTAGGCAATAGTACATGTAGGCAATAGTACATGTAGGCAAAAGTAACTCCATTTTTAAAATTTTTATTTGTGCGCAAAAGAGCATGTAGGCAATCGAGCTGTAGGCAAAAGTGATGTAGGCAAAAGGTACTGTAGGCAATCGATTTGTAGGCAAACGGGATCCCCCCATAATTATGTATGAGCAATTTTTTTTACATCTTTCCAAACTTGGTTTTTTCTAAAACAAACAATCCGAAAATTATCCCTTTAATTATTTTTTACGTTTTCACGTTACTATTATTATTTCTATTACACTAAAAAGTAATTTTACAAAAGAAAGAAGGATGTATGAACGTGTATGGACATATTTCTAATATAATTATACATGTTTATGAATATTTAAGCGTATTTATGTATGTTTATATATATTTATACATATTCATGCATGAAAAATTTTTTATATATACCGGAGAAGGATTGATAAGCCAAGCTAGTTAGTTAATTATATATGCTTGTAATTATGAACTTTTATAAACAAAAATTTAAACAATGTCAAAGTTTTAACCCGAAATATTTTGTTTATTTACAGAACAATATAACCAATCTCTACATCGCAGTGATATACTTTACATAAATCATCCTGAATATTTAAAGTAGTCGTTATATAAAAAAGTTGAGATTTTCGTAATTATCTTATAATATATCATTTCCATACATCTTCATTAGAGCACAGATAAAAAAAATACTATTTCTTATTGAAATTATTTTTTATACACGTTCTAAACCATCGCTAAAATTGTTGTATTTTTTGTATTTCCTATATATATATTTCTATAGATGTATAATAAAATGTAATTAAATTTATTTACAGCTGACAGTTTCCAAATTGGTTTCAAACAAATAGATATTTCTCTTCTTCGCTTGTTATCATGTAGTATATTTATATAATACAATATAAAGATTAATCGAAAACAAACCGCAGTAATGAAAAAAAGAATTGAATCTTATATGAACGTTGATATCTAAATATATAAGCTTTATTATACAGAGTGTCCGAAAAGTATGGAAACGGTTGAATATTTCGAGAAATACACATCGGATCAGAAATCTGAAAATATACGTATTCAATGTTTTCAAAAAAGCTATCTTTTGACCTCTAACATGACCCCCACCCCACCCGCTGTGGGTGAAAGAGAGGGTAAGTTTAAAATTTTAAATGGGAACCCCCATTTTTTAATGCAGATTTCGCTTCTTCAGAAAAAGTTACATCAATCTTACCTATTATAAACATTTTTTTGATGACAGATGGCGCTGTAATCAGCGAAATTAAAAAATGAGTCTAAAACGTTTAAAATATCTCAAGAAATACTCAAAGGATCAAAAAAATAAAAATGTACGTATTCAATGTTGTCAAGAAAGCTATCCATTGACACAAAAATTCTATCCTCCACCTACCATCCGCTGGGGGTAAAAGGGTAGGTAACTTTAAAATTTTAAATGAGAAAACCCCCATGTTTTATTGCAGATTTCGCTTCTGCAGAAAAAGTCGTATTAACCCTTTAACGCCGAGATGTGCTGAATTTCGACATGGATTTCAACCCCCAACAATTAGCAGAAAAGAACGTAGACAAGTATCGGAAGGTCCATTTGTATGTAATAAGGTATCAGAAACGTGTTCCCGATAGTTAAACTTCGAAAACGTGTACTGTATACAATTTTCATTTTTCGATTTTGAGTTCACAATGGCGCCTATAAGCTCAAAATTTTTCGAAATTTTACGCAATATTCAAAGGCAAAGGACGCTATTTCAAATTTTGAAAACTTGGTCTGCTATTATAGGTACGTCAAGTTGAATTTTTGGATTCCGACTTCACATTCGTAATCAGCGATCCCAAAAACCCCCGAGTAACAAGTTTCAATCGAATTCGGGCATATTTTTTGCAAATTTACTCGCCGTACGTAAAATTTCGAAAAATTTTGAGCTTATAGGCGCCATTGTGAACTCATCAAAATCGAAAAATGAAAATTGTATACAGTACACGTTTTCGAAG